CGAACCGAACCGTGAATTTTGTGTATCGTTGCACCCCTACTATCTATCTATCTATCTATCTATCTTAACGATTCTAGTTCATTGTAATGCTCGATGGAAGGTAGTTGATGTAATTGTCCATCTTAAACAACTACAGCACATGATAACACAACTGTTGTAATTTTAGCCAACATATAGCAACTTATGATAGGGTATATATTTTTTATTTTTCATATGATTACTGTACTTTATTTTGTTCAAAGTTATTTTTTGATTAATTATCTAGTAGTGAGAATTTATCTTTATCAATAAAAACAAGCATTTTGAGTAATGACATTTATGCTACACATTTTTCTAAATAGAAATATGTATGTTCTTTAGCCTAAGTACAGTTATACTCCAAAGTAGATGTATGACTATGTACAGTATGACTGTACAGCCAATGTGAATGTATTGATAACTTTTAGCCTACTTGTGAAGAATGAGAATTAAATTTGAATGTTGCTGCAGTCTCCTCCTCTTTTTCTGAATTGTGACCAGCCAAAAGCACATTTAAATAAAAAACCTGTGGCTTTGTTCATTTCTTTGCAGGCATTTTTTCAATGAATATTTCTACATCAGTGTCCTAGCTAGCAAACTCACCTAAGAGGATTAAATGGGTTGGACTATTAACTGGACCAGCTTCTTTAGTGAAGCCAAATGTGTAAACATAACAGAACAGCTGTAATGTTGTAGTCCAATGAGCACCGACACATTTTATGGTGGACTACAACATTACATTACAGATGTTCAACTGTTCAACTTATTGAACAGTTGAGCTAGCAGAACATTAGTTCTGCTAGCTCAACTGAAACAATTCACATACATTCGCTAATCTATTGCAACTTCCTATCCAAACTGCTTTGCAACTGATCTCCACTTAGACCCAAGCTTTTCTGCCAGATACATATTACTACAGATGAAATTATCAGTCTACTTTTGACTTTACACTTTTTTTAAATTCTGTACATTCTGTTCGTTTAATTTATTGTAAATATGTAAAATATTAGTCATTTATTACACAAATGGATTAATAATTAATGCAATACCCTCACATTTGTTTGAAACTATAAACTTAATTTGAATGTCATCCACCCATTGAATGGCTTTTTCCACAGCCTCTAAAAGCAGCCACACGGGCAGACAGATAATATATTACTGCACAATATGTGCTGAAAGCATGTCCATTCTGCCCGCCATGATAGCAACTTTTACAGTTTCATTGAAACTTTCAGTAAAATATGAAAAGTATTTATTTTTACTTAGAGACACAAAATGAACATATCCAGTATTCATGTTCTGTATAGGTGTTTACTCAGCAGACCCCTCTGGCTTACTGGCTTTACTTTTGTCCGTGATCAGGACATCAGCTTCCCCATTCTTAAATACTTCGTTCTAAATAAATGGTTGTGTTTTAGATCCTCAATGCAAACCATATCAATCTGCTGGAAACCCAGCTCTAAGCAGGCACCCACTGTGTCGTGTTTCTCTCTCTTTACTATCTATTGCTTTGAACTCGGAGCTGCAGCAAACTGTGAAAGTCTGTAAATATTGTTGAGATTTGAACCAGCTTGAAGTGTTAATTGAAAAATTATTGTAATAAAAACAAATTCTTCTGACTGTTAATGGATGTGTGCTTTTCTTATTCCTACACTGCATTCATACCCGAGAACACTTCACCACTAAAGAGGACATTTTTCTCAAAAGCAAATTATCCCTCCTGTCAAAACGGTGTGCTTCCACCAACACAGTTACACAGCCTTTACTCATCTCAATCATCAGTTCATCGCAGAACTGTCAAAGTTGAATTGCATAGGATGCTGTACTGTAGTAATGTGAGACCCATTGGGAATCTTGGCCATACTGAACATACTTAAAAATAACAACATATGATCTGAACAGTCTACAGCTTTATACTGATGAGTGTTTCGAGTACGTCATCATGGGGAAACCAAACAAGACAGAGACTCCCTCCAAAAGAACAGGTACTCCACCCACAAAGAAAAGCCGCCAGGAAGACTCCCTAGATCTGGTCTCTCTCCACAGACAGTGACATGGTCGATATTTTGGAATCTATAGATAACAACCTGTTCAGCTTTGACACAAACCTCGACCAATCGTGGTCAAATGTAAACATTTGAAACAAAAAGAACTGGTGAAGAGCCACAGCAGGAACTGAGAGGAAGGGACTTCAACGACCAGTTTCCTGAGGGGATCCTGGAGCAACGCACGGTCCTGATTTGAAATAAGTTGTCCAAGGAGGCTCTCATGATGTCATTGCAGTTGATACTCTATATGTTAACAGTCAACTTTATCATGACCAGAACACCGCTCCATGGCTGTGCTGATCCTGTGTCGAACGCCTTTTTCTAATTCTCCTTTCATGTCTATTATAGACATATCTGCCTTTTCCTGTTGTTATTGCTGTTGATTTGAGATCATTTCAGACGTATTCTTGGGTGGCTGGACTGTGCGATTTATTGCACAATTAAAGCACAGATACACACACACACATTACAAAATGTGTAGTTCATATACTAATATAAATTTTGTATATATGGACCAAATTTCAATCTCTCCTTTTGTTAAAGCCTTTTTCACTTTATTTTCGGATCAGTCTGACACCACACTTATTTTAACTGGAAGAGATTTCAACCTGTTACTTAATCCAGAAATTGACAGGCACAGTAGAGCAATGAGTCGAAGGAAGACACTACAGACATTCTTAAATAATACATACATGATTTTGGTGTTAGCAATGCTTGGCGTCATATGACTGTGAGGTTTTTCTCTGTATGTATTACCGTAGGGTTTACCTTACAATAAAAAGCTCCTTGAGGCGACTGTTGTTGTGTTGTTGGCGCTGTGTAAATAAAACGGAACTGAACTGAATTGTGACTTTCAGAACACCTCCACAACTTCACTACTGCTAGGCAATATCAGACAATTAGGTACAAACTTTTCCTTTTGGCTTTCAGACTTGGTAAAGCTGAATCACATTCCTCACATATAACAGTCCATACAGAATCACACACAGTAGAGCAGGGATACTCAACTTCATTTGGCTGAAGCTCACATTTGGAAAACGAAGAGGCTGGGGACCAGTTAAACTACATTCTTCATAAAATGAGGAAACTTTGAAAAAGGCTGATATAGCTCATTCTCACATTTTTATCTATTTTATTAGCACCATTGCAATTCACCAGTATATATTTTTAACCATCTTTAACAGCATAGCTGGAATTTTTCCTATCGTGCAGACAAATATTGCACAAATTCATAAACACGTACAACTATTAACAATTCTTAGAAATAGAATGGACATAGTGCAGCTCTTTTAGTGTAAAAGATATATTAAATGCGTTGATTCTATTGCCTGGGGTGCAGGCTGTGCAAAAGCTGTGCCTGGTGTAGACCTCTGCCCTCTTGTACTCAGAGCTTGTTCCTGTGCTGCCATGATTAGTGCCTCTGTGCTTGTCTTTCAGTCCAGCTTTGTCCAGCCACTTCCTCTTTCTGCTGATGTTATATACTGTGCAGGGGCCTGCCTTCCTTTATGGCTCTTCCTCTTGCTCCACTTCTTTCATGGGTTTCTGCTGCCAGAGGTATTTACTTAGCACACGGTCAGTTGTGGCCATCTTCATGATGTATTCTTGGATGTTTGTTGTCTCATCCTGGACAGTGGTTCTGACACTCACTAGTGCCCAGCCTCCTTCCTTCTGCTAAGCGTACAGCCTCAGGGTGATGGACCTGGGGTAAAACCCTCCATGCATGGTAAGGAGCTTCCTTGTCTTAATGTTGGTGGCTTCTATCTCCACCTCTCCTCCTTTGGCCAGCTTATTATCCCAGCAGGGTATCTGACCACTGGCAGCGTGTAGGTGTTGATAGCCTGGATCTCCTTCTTACCGTTCAGCTGACTCCTCAGAACTTGCCTGACCCGCTGCAGGTACTTGGTGGTTGTAGCTTTCCTAGCATAGCACAATCCGCTCAGTTCTGGCTACCTTCCCTCTCTTTGTTTCCTCTAACTACATTTTGTCAAGGTGTGTAG